TATATATGTATATATATATATATATATGTATATATATATGTATATATATATAATATATATACATATATATGTCGAAACAAACAAGCAAATGAATGAACGAACAAGCAAATAAAGAAACAAATAAACAAATAAGTAAATGAAATAAATAAAGAAATAAACAAACAAACAAGAAAATAAATAAATAAATAAATAAATAAACAAACCTTTCTCGTCTTTATAGTAAAATTGTTTCAAACGACAGAGCAGAGATTGACGCCTGTAAAGACCCTGAGGTAAAACCCTAAAAACAAACAAATAAACAAGCAAACAAATAAATAAATAAATAAATAATAATTAATATCGTCATAGACAAACATAATTAATTATAAGCATTAATAATTATAACGATTAGAGAGAAGGCAGAAGAAAGAAAGAAGAATATACATACGTTTTTATACGCTGATTTATATATTTTTTTATATTTAGATATTTAAAAATATATTTAAATGCAATTAAATAAACATAAATATATTTAAATGTAAATAAACAAATATAAATATACTGAAAAATAAATGAGCACGCGTTATTATATTTATATATAAATATATACACTTAGTTGCATTTAAATCTATTTAAATGTACATAAATATAATTAATTATATTCAAACATATTTTAATGCAGTTAATTATATTTATATATATGTATATATATAAACATACTTAATAAAACCTAAATAAAAATAAATTTAAGTAGATGTACAAATACAGTAAAATTAAAAAGTATTCAATAGGCTTATACACAATATAAAAAAATCTTAATAGAAATAAAGAAATAAACATATATATATGTATATAGATATATACATAAATAATTTATAAATGTGTTTAAATAAATAAATAATTAAATTAAAACTAGTTGAAAATAATATTACTTACGGTATGCCTGCAGGTTTAAAGACAGCAACAAAGTTTTTTGTTTCGTTTAATATTAATACTGCACTTGAGGGCGCCGCTAACTGCAATAATAATACACAAATATAATTAAATTAATTACCTAATTAAATTAATTAACTAATTAATTAATTAATTAATTTATTTTTTTGTTTGTAATAAATAAGCACAAAGACAAATCAAGAAAAAAATAAAGAAAAATATAAATTCGTCAATTCATAAATAAATTGACAGATAAATAAACACCAAAATAATAAATAAATAAATGCAAATATATAAATAAATTAAAAATAGCATACAAAAAAACAACAAGAACGGCAGCATCAGCAGCAGCAGCAGCAGCAGGAGCAACAGCAGGAGCAGCGGCAGCTGCAGCAAGCGGTGAAGAGCCCGAAGACCTCTCTTGAACTACTTAATCATTTATTCATCTACATATATATATACATTTATTTATTTATTTATTTATTTAGTTATTTATTTATTTATTTATTTATTATCCTTCTAACCTCTAAGACGAGGCTGTTGTGTATAATGAGATCGCCGTTCTGCAGAATTTGTTCGGGGTGGCAGCACATCCAGTTGACTTGCATAAATAATTTATTTATATTTCTTAAAGAAACTCCTGCTGCTGCTCCTGCTGCTGCTGCTGCTGCTGCTGCGTCTGCTCCTGCGTCTGCTGCTCCTGCTGCTGCTACTGCGTCTGCTGCTGCGTCTGCTGCTGCTGCTGTTTCTTCAAAGAATGCACTACCCTCTTCCTGTTGTTCTTCTTCTTCTATTTCCTCTTCTGCTGCTTCTGTTGCTACTCCTGTTGCTGCATTTGCTGCTGCAGCATTTGTTAGCTTGAGCTTTTTTTGCTGCTGCTGCTTCTTCTGCTTCTGCTGCTGCTTCTGCTGCTGCTGCTGCTGCTGCTCTTCTGTTTGTTTTTGTCTATAGATACGAGCTTCTGGCTGTACGTACACCTCAGCCCCCCCTTCAATTGCACGAAGAAAATATTCGGCGGACTTCCACGAAAATTCGCTGCTAAAGGCTTCAATAATGCTGCAGCAAATAAATTATAATTATAATTACAATTATAATTATAACTATGAAAACAATAACAAATATTATTAATCCTTGTAATAAAAAGATTTAAAGAGATAGATAATGCTGTGTATTTATTATTTTTTCATGTTCACTATTATTAATATTATTAATATTCTTTGATAGCAGCAGTATTAGTTTTATTCATATTATTATTTTATTTTATTTTATTATTATTATTAATATTATTATAATTGCTGATACTGCTACTGCAACAAACAATCCAGGTGTATATGCACTTCAGGTGTATATACACCTATTACTATTATCATTATTACTATTACTATTATTATTATTATTATTAAACTTTAGGTGTATATACACCTCAACCTACGTTTTGCCTCTCCATCGTATTTTGCAGTTTGTAATGTAGAGATTAAAATAAGGAGGAAAGGCTGTGAGTATTCTCTGCTGTCTTTCTGTTGTCTTTTCTTCGATTGCTGTTGCAGCAGAGCTGTATATACAGCCACTTATGCCATTATTCCTGCTGCTGCTGCTGCTGTTGTTGCTGCTGCCGTTGCTGCTGCTGCTGCTGCTGCTGTTACTGCTGTTGCTGCTTATTCTGCTGTTGTTGATACTGCTGTTGCTTCTGCCGCTGCTGCTGCTTTCATTGAAGCCGTTGCTGCTGCTGCTGCTGCTGGTGTTACTGATGTTGCTGCTGCTGCTGTCGCTGCTGCTGCAATCTTTTTCTTCTTTTTCTTTTTCTTCTTCGCTCTTGCAAAGAAATGTACAAGTGCGTTGGGGGGGGCCCTCAGCAACAATAGGAAGAGAGTCTCCGCCCTCTGAGGCGTCTTCTTCTGTCATGTTTAAATAAATATTAAAAATAAATTAATTAAAAAGAAGAAATACATAAATAATATTTAAAATGTAAATGTTGTTCAATACACAAATATCGAGAAAACAACAGCAGCCCCAATCGGTGTAAAGACAGCGAAAGAAATTATTTAAAAGATAAGTGTTATGCATACATTATAAAGAAATAAATAAAAATAATAAAATAAAAGAATTAATTAAATATAATTTTATTTTCTTCAATATTTCAAACATATCCCCCTCCTTAATATACGAAAAGCCTCAAAGAAGGAAGCCCCATGCATGCGCAGGGGTAAAACTAAACTTTTAATAAAAAATAACATTTAGAATACATTTTTTTATTAAATTTAATTTATTATTAACTAAAGGAATATATTTTTATTGAATTTAATTTATTTTTAACGAAAGGAAATGCACTTGAAGGACTACTAACACTGGATATGAAAAGAGCAACAGACAGCATTTGACTAATTAAATGCTTTAAACAGATTTTTAATTGTTTTAATCATTGTAATTATTTTATTTTATTTTATTTTATTTTATTTTGTTTTATCCTCCGATTTATTTTCATTCAATTTATTTTCTCTAACTTTCACTCCCATAGAAAGACCACCGCGACTCATCCTCAGCTTGCATCTCTTATTTTCATTTTTAATTAATTTTTTGTTTATAATTGCATGTTTACTCTTTCATTTTTATTATTTAAAATTCAAATTGAGTGTTTTTGCTGCTGTATGTAACGATTTGCACAGCCAGCAGGTTGTAGCTCCCTGTACACCTGAGATTTCTAGTGTATTCGCAGTAGTACTCCTGAACCCCTATAATAATATATTTTTTGTGTTTATTTCATTTAATATTGACATAAAATGCCGTTCTTTTTAATCTCCACGCCTTTCAGAAACCACAGTACTTACTGGTCCCCTGCAGTTTCCTCCTCAAAATACTGTCTGTACACCCCTGCCTATGCAGATGCAGCAGCAGCAGCAGCAGCAGCAGCAGCAGCTTCACCACCCCTTTCAGCAACAGGAGGAGCAGCAGCGCAAGCAACAGCAGCAGCACAAGCAGCAGCAGCAGCAACCACAGCAGCAGCATCAGCATGAGAGTATAAGCAGAGGTTGCTGATGATGTTTTTTTGTGTATTTTTTTGTGTCTTCGGTATATTACACTGCCGCATTTGGTGACAGGCGTTAAGGTATTGGGTTTATGGTGTGTAGCTAAAGCAATTATTTTTAATAAAGAAAAAGGAAAAGGCAGCAGCTCTTCAAACATAAGCAAACTCTGCTGCTCCTCCTCCTCCGCCTGCTGCTGCTGCTGCTGCTGATGCTGCTGCTCCTCCTGCTGCTGCCGGGCGCTGCAAACGGAAGTATTGCACAGAAAACAGCCAAATGCATGCAGAGGCACACCAACAATCGCTGCAGCAGCAGCAACAGCAACAGCAGATGTAACAACAGCAGCAGCAGTAACGGAATCCTCCTGGCGACTGCAGCAGCAAGCGCCGTCCTTACGCCCTGAATATGCAGAATGGGAGCGAAGGAGAGGATGCTGCAGCAGCATATCAGACCAACTGTGCTGATGCGTCTGCTGCTGCTGCTCCTGCTGATACTGCTGCGTCTGCTGCTGCTGCTCCTGCTGCTGCTTCCGTAGAAACGCCACCATCAGCAACGACAACGGCAGCAAATGCAACAGCATCAGCAACAGCAGCAGAAGCAGCAGTCCATGCATATTTCAACTTGGCACCAGCAGCAGAGCAGCAGCAGCAGCCTCAGACAGACTGTGCTGCTGCTCCACAGCAGCAACAATTTAATAGAATAGAGGATTTTGGTTGCTGCTGCAAACAGCACCCGATGCAAAAGCAGTAGCAGCAGATATCTGAATTGCTTTCTCTGATTAACAGAGGAATTATAATAAAAATATACGTCCGCCAGTGCTGCAGCAACTGCAGTATGTTGCTGCGCGTCTAGGAGTTAAACCCATATAACTGAATCCGCTTTAAATGACGATTTTAATAATATATATAATTATATATTATGCATGTATATATAGTATATATGCATATATACTTGGTAGAGCACAAAAGAAAAACAAGTTGGAGAAGAAAGACGACACGAAGAAAAAGAACAAGAAGAAAATTAATTTAAAAAAAAACAAAGTACGAAGAAGAAAACGAAGAAAAAGGAAAAGCAAGAAAATACGCCAAAAAGAAATCTGCGAGAAAAAAAAATAAAAGGTGCGCAGAAAGTGGAGACGCGGCAATTTCTTTTCTCTTTTTGTACTGCACTTTTAAAATAATTTTTCTATAAACACCACTATCGCACATGTATAATATATATATATATATATATATATATATATATATTTAGGGTTACGTTTTCTACTGTAAATTTGTAGAAACGTTTACAAATATTATATA